GGAGGAGGCCACTCATCCGCCTTCTTTTTCCCTTTCTTGGCGATTGGGCATGAGTCCTTCTTAGGGATACCAGCACTGGTTCCCGCTAAGGTATTAGGGATGGAGCCAACAATTGCATTGAAGGCACCTACTTGTTCTGCTTCGTCTGAGTCGTCATCTGACCCATCCTCGACAGTTTGATGAGCGTTGGTCTGTATCTGTGGGCATTCATTGTTCCAATGTGGCCCGCCGCAATGACGGCATTCTGAAGGGGGTTTTCTCCCCTGATTGTTGTTGACGGATGCAGCGCTGTTGCTGCTTGAGGAAGGAGTCTTGGATATGGTTGCACTTCGATCTCCCCCACTTCTGCTAGGGCCATCATTACTAGGCTGGCTCCCGTTGTAACCCCTTCGGACAGGCGGCTGAGGCCTATCCTTCTGAGTTTCCATATGATAATCCCCTAGGCATTCAGCAGCTTGGATTGCCTTGGGGAGGGTATCTACCCTTTGTCTTTGCAGCTCCATACGGGCATGAGGTTTCAAACCTTCTAGGAATGTGAAGAGTTTGTCTTTGTCACCCATATCCCGTATGTTTAGCATGAGCACTGAGAACTCCCGCACGTAATCCCGCACTGACCTGGTCTGGCGGAGCTCTCGTAGCTTTCTCCGTGCATTGTACTCCACGTTTTCGGGGAAGAACTGCAGGCGTATGGCTGCCTTCAGTTCTGCCCATGTCTTGAGAGTATCTTCCCCGACCTTGATGGCTTCGTATTTCACTCGCCACCAGAGTTTAGCATCACCCTGAAGATACATGGCAGCAGTTGCTACCTTTTTGGGTTCTTCCAACTCGCCCATGGCATCGAAGTATTGTTCGATGTCGAAGATGAAGTTTTCCACTTCTTTAGCATCCCGAGCTCCGTCGTATGGATTTGGCTCCAGAATTTTCAGTTTTTGTGGCATAGGGGCGAGGTTCACAGTACCCCTGATTTGGTTTTCGCCTCCTCGAAGTAGGCTTTGTAGAGCAGATTGACAACATTGAGTTGGTCCGTCAGGTTGTCTATGGTTTGCTGCATGGCAATCACCCTGTCTGCCTCTTGTTCTCTATGAGCAAGATCCTCGGCGCGCTCATGTTGGAGGTCCTTGAATTTGCAGTAAATTTCGGCTGCCTCTATGGCTGCCATTTGCCGGTCTCCTTTAAAGTCCCGACTGATGTTTGCTATGTCAACTTCGGCCTGGAGCATTCTGCGGTCCAGGTCGTCCAACCTTTGCACTAGGCTGGTTCTTAGTTCAGGCATCGTATCCACGATGGGCCGTAATACGTCAACCGTCTCTTCAAGGATACGGTCCCCATGATTCACCGTGGTCAAAAAAGGTGGTATTGGCAATGTTTTCCCTCGTCCGATGTCGAGTCTAGGCTTTGATACCAACTGTTATGCGGCGCCTTCCTGAGATTCCTTAAAAGGGCGACGTAAGGCTAAGCAACCAATGTCACTCCGGCTGTTGTCCGCCAACTGAGGTCCCCTCCGTATGCTAGACGAGATTGTCAGTGCCGTACGAGAAAACCAATATCAAGAGCAATTGCGGAAACGGAAATGAGAATTGAGAATGAAAGCTTGATTGCATTAATGAAATCTATTACAAAAGGCTACGCGGTATCGAGGGGGAGAGACACCAATACAAAGAAATGTTTGCTTGCTAGAAAGTTTGATTGCTTGATCCCCCCTAATAGTGCTTAAAAAAAATAAACCAAATTTACAAGACTTAACAAAAATAAGCTAGAGAAACATAATGGAAGTACTGAAATAAAACTACTCCATATTTACAATGAAAAGGACTTAGTTTTCTACAAAGTAGAGACAGGTCCGTCGGCAGCAACTTTGTCTTTCGCATCAGGGTCTACGCGCGCGGTGCTGTCGACGCGTGCGACACTATTTGGAGTCCGCCTGTGGCTAGCCGCGGGCAAGGCATCAGGATCTGCGCGCTCGGCATTGTCTGTGCGCACGGCGTTATTGGCATCATCATGAACTCTGCGCCCGGCATTGTCTGTGTGTGCGGCGCTGTTGGCATCTGCCAGCCGCTGGACGCTGGCGTGGGTTATTGGTGGGCGACAGAGGCATATGCGCGCTTGTCACTTGGCGCTGTCAAGACCACGGGGCCGGTCATGGCGCTAGGCGTTGGGAGGCTTTCCAGGACGCCATGGGATGCGTCCAAGGGGTCATGAGGCATGGCTTGAAAGCCGCCCATGACAGTAATAGTTCAAGTTTTATATTTCCAAAACATCTCAGAAAATATACGGTACTATAAGATGACTAAAATTGGTAGCAAGGTGAGAAAAACACAACTAAATGTTTTAGTAAGACTTCGTCTATTTCACCCAAAATAAAATATGATCAAGTTTCAAATAAAACGATTGCCATAATGAACAAGCAACAACAACAACAACAACGGCCCAGTATAATCCCACAAGTGGGGTCTGGGGAGGGTAATATGTACGCAGACCTTACCCCTACCCCGAGGGGCAGAGAGGCTGTTTCCAAGAGACCCTCGGCTTAAGAAAGCAACAAGAGACGATATATTAGTACCATCAATAGAATCATAATAAAATAACAGCAATATGATAAATACAAAATAGATGGAAGGTATAATAATAACCAGCAGATAAAGCCCTGCATCAGTAGATGACCACTAGCATCCTAAAACTAACTCCTAACTGGCTAATCTCACTCTAGTGCGCTGTAGAAATATTCACAACTTCGCCCTAACCTACAACCTTAATGCTCGACCTCCACAATTCCCTGTCAAGGCATGTCCTCAGCAATCCTAAGTCGCGCCATGTCCTGCCTGATCACCTCTCCCCAATTCTTCTTAGGTCGCCCTCTACCTCTCCTCGTGCCCACCACAGCCAGTCGCTCACACCTCCTCACCGGTGCATCAGTGCTCCTCCTCTGAATGTGCCTGAACCATTTGAGTCTTGCTTCCCGCATCTTGTCCTCCATGGGGGCCACGCCCACCTTCTCTCGAATTTCTTTATTCCTAATCTTATCCATCCTTGTATGCCCGCACATCCACCTCAACATCCTCATCTCTGCTACTTTCATCTTCTAGATGTGTGAGTTCTTAACCGCCAACACTCAGTCCCATACAACATGACAGGCCTAACCACTGCTCTATAAAACTTACCTTTTAGTAACGGTGGCACTTTCTTGTCACACAGGACTCCCGATGCTAACCTCCACTTCATCCACCCCACCCCTATACGGTGCGTGACATCCTCGTCGATCTCCCCGATCCCCTGAATAATCGACCCAAGGTACTTGAAACTACCCTTCTTGGGAATGACTTGAGAGTCAAGCCTCACGTCCACTCCCGCTTCCGTCGGCTCGACCCCAAATTTGCACTCAAGGTATTTCGTGTTCGTCCTGCTCAACTTGAAACCTTTAGACTCAAGGGCATGTCTCCAAACCTCTAGCCTCTCGTTGACGCCGCTTCGTGTCTCGTCAATTAGAACTATGTCATCAGCAAATAGCATGCACCATGGAACCTCCCCTTGAATATGATGAGTTAGTGCATCCATCACCAGGGCAAATAGGAATGGACTGAACGCTGACCCTTGGTGCAACCCCGTAACAACCGGAAAGTGCTCGGAGTCGCCTCCTACTGTCCTAACCCGAGTCTTAGCTCCATCATACATGTCTTTAATCACCCTAATGTAGGCAACCGGAACCCCTTTAGTCTCCAAGCCGCTCCATAAGACCTCCCTAGGAACCCTGTCGTATGCTTTCTCCAGATCAATAAACACCATGTGGAGATCCTTCTTCCTATCCCTGTATTGTTCCACCATCCTCCTAATAAGGTGGATAGCTTCTATGGTAGATCGCCCCGACATGATCCCGAACTAGTTGTCTGAAATAGACACCATCCTTCGCACTCTCATTTCTACCACTCTCTCTCAAACTTTCATGGTATGACTCAGTAATTTGATACCCCTATAGTTGTTACAACTCTGGATATCACCTTTGTTCTTATACAACGGAACCATTGTACTCCACCTCCACTCTTCAGGCATCCTATTAGTCTTGAATATAACATTAAACAACCCAAGAAGCCATTCCAAGCCTGCTCTACCCACACACCTCCAAAGTTCAACTGGAATTTCGTCTGGCCCGGTAGCTCTGCCCCTTCTCATCTTACGCATCGCCTCCATGACCTCATCGACTCAATGTCCCTACAATAACTTAATTCATGGGGAATGTCGGCATTCCTCAATTCACCTAATACAATATCCTGATCCCCTTCTTCATTTAGAAGTTTATAAAAGTAGGTCTGCCACCTCCTCTTAATCTGGTCATCCCCCATCAAAACTTTGCCGTCCTCATCTTTTATGCACCTCACTTGGTCCAGATCCCGAGCCGTCCTCTCTCTCACCTTAGCCAGTCGGAATAACTTCTTCTCCCCGCCTTTGTTCCTCAGTTCCTCATACAGACGAGCAAAAGCTGCAGTCTTAGCCTCCATGACTGCAATCTTCACCTCCTTCCTAGCTACCTTATACCTCTCACTGTTCGCTCTACTCTCCTCCTCGCCAGTGCTCCCTACTAACCGCAGGTAAGCCGCCTTCTTTGCTTCCACTTTACCTTGGACAACTGCATTCCACCACCAGTCTCCTTTGTGGCCACCGGTTCGGCCCGAAGATATCCCTAACACCTCTCTCGCCGCCTTCCTTATACAGTCCGCCGTCGTCGACCACATAGTGTTTGCGTCCCCACTACTTGTCCAAGCTACCATTGCCGATAACTTTCCTTCCAACTCCTGAGCTTTATCCTTAGTCAAGGCGCCCCACCTAATCCTCGGACGGCCTCGTACTAGCCTCTTCTTCCTCCTTATCATAATACCAATGTCCATCACCAAAAGCCTATGCTGCATTGCGAGGGTCTCACCTGGGATAACCTTGCAGTCCTCGCACAACCTTCTGTCGCATCTCTTGAGGAGAAGATAGTCAATCTGAGTCTTCGCCACCGAACTTTGCTAAGTAACCAAATGCTCCTCCCGCTTTGGAAAACTTGAGTTCGCAATCACTACATCGAATGCCTTGGCAAAGTCCAACAGCGAAGTGCCCCCTCCGTTCCTCTCCCCGAAACCGAAGCCGCCATGCACCTCAGTATAACCACCTGCAGACGACCCAATATGACCATTGAAATCTCCTCCTGTGAATAACCTCTCGGAAGGCGGGATACTACGAACGATCTCATCCAACTCCTCCCAAAAGCGCCTTTTAATCTCCTCATCCAAGCCTGCTTGCGGCGGGTACGCGCTAACGACATTTAAAGTACACTCACCCACCACCAACTTAATAGTCATTAATCTATCATTCACCCGCCTGACTTCTACCACCGACTCTCTAAGATGGCTATCTACCAGGATACCCACTCCATTCTTACCCCTCAGGACTCCAGAGTACCACAACTTATACCCATCCGCGTTTTTCGCCCTCGATCCGACCACCTAGTCTCCTGGACACACGCTATATTAATCTTCCTCTTCTGAAGGATCTTCGCCAACTCTATAGACTTACTCGTTAGTGAACCTATGTTCCATGACCCGATTCTCAACCTATAGGCTCCCTTGCACCCTCTACCTCCCCTGCCTCCTGTCCCACCCCCTGACCCCAGCCCCACACTCTGCCCCACACCCTGCCCCACCCGAGGACATGCCCTTATTCTATCATCCCAAACTACAGCCACTACACCTACGACAATCTAAAGAAGACTCGTTAGTGCACAACGGACAACGAATCAAACTAGAAGGAAACAAGTGACTACTAGCACACTAGTTGAATGATTGAACTATTGCGAACTAAAGAACATCAATTTAGCTAACACCAAAAGGGAAACAGTAAAACGGGAGGTACCAACTCTCGAGAACAAAACCTGTGACTGATTTGCTGTACTCGATGTAGTTGTACGCTCACGTCCCGCTTCCCACCGCCCTTTGCTGACAATCGCCCAGGCTACTCTCCTTTGCTAGTGCTCGTGCGCCCAACTTGTCTCTAACAACTTCGAGAATTTCCCTGAAATGAACAAGGATAAATTATAATATGACACATTATACCGTTTCGATATGAACTTCATTTATGAAAATAAATTTAGATGAATAAAATTGAACTACTAAGAGAATCTTCTAGTTCATTAAAGATTTAGCAGTCAATCACGGATTCCTAGCAATTTATGATATAGGAAATTTAGGAAGAAAACTTAACAATTGGGGCTGTCTTTTGAAACTTTCCTCAAATTGCATACAAAAAAAAAGATACATAGAATTAGAATATTCCATATTCAATACAAATATAAAGAAATACAAAAAACAATTCATAGCCATTAAAAGAGAAAAAAGAAGATACCCATACCATCAGAGGCAGAGCCGGAATTTTAAGCTACTAGTTTGGGATTTTAACCTTTTTATGTTAGTGGGTTCTAAACTCTAAAGTAAGAATTTATACATAGTCAATGAATTTCTTAAGGCAAATATATGGTTTTGACATAAGTCACTGGGTTCGGCCGAATCCGGTGTCGAAGCTCTAGTTCCGCCCCTGCACCATCATCACTCTAGTGCTCCAAATAATTTGGAAAACATATAGTAAACATTAATGAATTTAGTAGACAATAATTAATGGAAAATCAACCAGCAATTTGATTCTATATATATTCAATACGTCTTCATATATATCAAACGTTTTAGTCACAAATCTTCTGTATGAAATATACACATGAGTTTTGCATTGAAGAAAAATTAACTTTTAGATCATAATAAAGGAGAACGAAAGATACAAAACAAACAAAGATAAATATATTAAAGATGTGAACTTTACGAACCTGAGTACCTGACAACGACCCATAAATATAGATGAGTGGTCGGAGGCCACCAACTTTATCTTGTGTTAGGAGTACATGTAATGGTTTACATGTTAGAGTTAGACTTTGATTTGGACTCAACATTATACGTATACAACAATTCAAATATTTAACTTTGAAAAAGGTGTATATGAATAGAACTTTGAAATTCTTTACCAACTTCATAAGATATTTATGTTCCTAATTTGTATATCTAATATAAATAAATTGTTTGATTTATATAAAGTAAAATTTACTAGTTGATTTTTATGTCCTTACATAGTGATTTAAATAAGGAAAGTTTAAATAAACAAAATTTTAGTTGATTTCTCTCCTAAGCATTAGAAAAATAATTAAATAGCTATTCCTAAATATTAAAAAATCATTAATTGATTATTTCTACATATTAGAAAAATAACTTAAATTACTATTTTGACCAATGTAAAATCTATTTTAAAAGTTAAAAAAGACGAACAACATTTCGTTAAGGGCCTTCGTGTTTTTAATATAGTATAGAAGATAGATAGATATAGATATAGATATAGATATAGATATGGATAAAGCTATTGTAAAAAATACCCGTATATTTGCTGGTCAATATAATCTCCCCTAACTCGTGCTCTATATATTAACTTGTCCGGTTGTCCCTTTTTAATAATTCATACAACCGCTATATAACTAACACAGAATTATCACAAACTTGTGATCCCAATAAATATATTAATGTATGGGGTCGAATTTGACCGATAGCGTCCTTAAGTCAGCACGACCAACCACTGAACATATGTGAGCTCCGACAGAAGGACGACTTAGGAGTAAAGGGAGAAACGACTTCATAACCTCGTCGGCCCCTCTATAGAATGTACTTTGGTTTTACCTTTTAATATTTAAATAAGGATCCCTTACTATATAAAGGGGATCCAAGCTCTGTAAAAGATGATTCATTCATTTTTGGGATATAAACTTTTCTCTTGCTCTCTCATCTCTCTAAGATTATCTCTTTTCCTCTCTCTCATATATACTATTGTTGCAAGAACCGATTATCAAGATCATCCTAGGGTTTATTATTTTCGATTATGATTTACCCCTTCATTTCTTTTTGATTAATTTGCTTAAAAAGTGTTTAATAACTTTTGAGTCAAACAATTTGGCGCCGTCTGTGGGGATTTCGGTAGTCGAAATCGTAGTTCACACCTAGGATATCAAAAACAACAATCACTGTCCTTCATACTCCATAGAAACTAACAATGGCAGAGAAAGAAGCAAGGTTGAAAATGATAGCAGACGTCTCAAATAACCTCATAGGCTCCCTCAACGAAGCCGGTAGGGAAATACCGCGAATGTAACACCAAGTAATATACTAGAGGGGGAGATCTCACCCTCTTCACTCGAAGATCTAACGATTTTGCATGAAAGAGGGGATTCTACATCTGCGGTAAAGGAAACACCCCCAGTAGTCAAAAAGCTGCTAGAGGAATGGTTGACGAGCGCTCTAAGCAACATGCTCGAGAAACCCCCTCAGGGATATACCAAAGATTCGTCAACGGCAGAAATCGCTGCTGCCGCCGGTGAGCCTAGCGTTGTACGAATGAGCAACACCCACACCGCTATCAACGCAAGCGACGGTACACTCTCAACCATCCTTAAGAAAATGGAAGAAATGGAGAACAAGAATAAAGTGCTTCGCGATCAAATGAAAGAGCACCAGGAAAGGGTGGACAAGATACCTGGCGCCCCTAAGTTATTGCCGAAACGCGATGTGGGAAGATTTGTCGAGCAACCATATAGTGAGGAAGCTCCTCCTTACCCAATCCCAAAAACCTTCAAGATGCCACCATACTTGAAAATATACGACGGGACCACGGATTCGGAAGACCATCTGATCCATTATGTAACCGCTGTAAAAGGCAACGACTTATCGAAAGAACAGGTGCAATCCGTGTTGCTGAAAAAGTTTGGTGAAACTTTGACAGGAGGGGCGTTAACGTGGTACTCTCAACTACCAGCTAGATCGATATCAACATTCGAAGTGATGGCAGATAAGTTCGCCACCGCTCATGCAGGAGCGAAGAAGGCCGAAGCTAGGGTCAATGATATCTTCGCCATCAGGCAAACAACAGGTGAAGGACTCCGGGACTTCCTGGCCCGATTCAACAGGGTAAGAATGGGACTGCCAAATGTATCAGAAGGAATGGCGGTCGCAACTTTCCAAAACGGGTTGAACAGAGACGGATCAAAAGCAACCAAGAAGCTGCTCAACAGGCTCATGAAGTATCCCCCACCACGTGGGAAGAGATTCACAATGCCTATTGCGCCAAAGTAAGAGCGGATGAAGACGACCTAAACGGTCCAACCCAACGACTAATGTCAGTACAGTCAGAGGTAAGGAGGGATCGACGTAACGACGGGCGACGGGAACAGCTCCCACGCTTCAACAGAGAAAGGCATCAGCCCTACGTTAGAACTCCCAATCCGCCTCCTCCAAGGCATCCAGATGTCGTGCCGCGACATGTCGCCCCGCTTCGAAATGAAAGAGGTATTTCCCCATTATTATCTGCTCATAACTTTTGTGTCTCCCCTTCAGAAATAGTGTACGAACTGGAGAAGCTGGGCACGAAGGTACAGTGGCCACAAAAAATGAAATCATACCCTAGTGCAAGGAGGTCGAACGTCCTATGCGAATTCCATCAGGAAAAAGGACACAAGACCGAAGATTGCATAGGTCTACGACAGGAGGTGGTCAGAATGCTGAACACGGGATACCTGAAGGAGCTGCTCAGCGATAAAGGAAGGGCTAATTTCGCCAGAGGACGCGACCAATCCCAAGGACCACCAAAACCACCTTCTCCAGCACGTACCATACAGATGATCGTCGGTGGCGGCGACGACTCAGCAATCAATCATGTAAAGTTCACCACCACACACAAGTTGAAGCGCACGATCGCTCACGAACGGTATGATGACTTCGAAAACAGTATCACCTTCGATAAGTCTGATACCGACGGTTTGTCTTTCCCTCATTACGATGCTTTAGTTATAACTTTACGCATTGCTGATACTGATGTGAAAAGAATCATGGTAGACGACGGAAGTGGCGCGTGTATTATCCACCCAAGAGTTCTTATGCAAATGAGGCTCGAAGATAAGATAATATCGCATTGCATAACAGTAACGGGTTTTAACAATGCAGTAGAGCGAACCTCCGGAGAAATATCACTGCCAGTCTTGGCAGGGGGAGTCACGCTGGAAACCACATTCCACATCATGAATCAGGAAACGGCTTACAATATCATCATAGGGCGTCCATGGATACACGCCATGCGAGCCGTTCCCTCGAGCTTCTATCAAGTAATCAAATTTCCCACCCCATGGGGAATATTCAGCATTCGAGGTGAGCCACGTACCGCCCAGGAATGCTACCGGATCGCCCAAGACTGTACACATACCAAACAATTGAAGGGAGCAAGCGCG